AGATTATGTATTTCTGCAGTAGGAAAGCATATATATATATTTTTTTTTTCTTGGCCAGGCTCAGGCTGCCAAATGAAGACATTTGAAAGCTAAGCGTGGCAAGTATGTGTGTGTGTGTGTGTGTGTGTGTGTGTGTGTGTGTGTGTGTGTGTGTGTTTGATGTGATATTTTAATGGAGTAAAGTCTGATTGCATAGAGGAAAGTTTGACCTAGTGAATCTGAACTTTCTCTTCTCTAGACTTGGCAAAGTGTATAACTGGAGGCAGCACAGAAAACTCATCACAGTAGACACTGGTGCACCCCACCCTGCAAGGGGGGCCCCTCCTGAGTTAGCCAGTGGTGCCCACCAAATCCCACATGCCCCTAGACCAGGGAGCTCAGGAAGTGCAGAAACAGTGAATCCTCTGATAGAGAGAATTTGCAGGTGGAAAAGCAGAACTACTGATAAATGGATATTGAACTTCAAGATGGATGGAATTATTTTTAATTGCCATTGTTAAACTTACAAATCCTCGCTTGGACAAATCACATGCTAAACAATAATAATAATGACTTACAAATTTTCTTTACATTTAGTGGGCCTTCTGTACTATCATTCTGTATGTTTTGACCTATATTAATCCATTTAGTGCTCCCAACAAACCCATGATCTAGGAACTATTGTCTATTTGCAGATGAACTGAGGCAGATAAATTTGAGTAGTCAGCTTTTAAAAAAAAAAAAAAAAGATTTATTCATAAAGAACTGAGATGCGGAGGATTGAGAGGATTCACCAGGGAGAGTGGGGAGCAGAACAGGCACATCGACGAGGTACACTGCTGAGGGGAGCAGCGGGCGGGTCAGGAGAGGTCTGCCACGCCATGTGGTCACCTCCGGGGCAGGCAGGAATCGAACTCATGCGGAAGCGGCTTAAGCTTCTTAGTGCAGTGCTTTAACCCGCTGAGCCACCAGGGAGGGCCCGAGTAGTCAGCTCCTAATTACATAAAAAGTAAGTCGTAGAGACAACTCAAAGCCAGTCCTTGAGATTCTAGGGAACTAAGAGAACTTTAAGAGGAATTCCCAATTCCTCTTGTGCCCTTGCTAACCTAACAATGTTCACTATTGGTCTCAAGGTGAGATCACTGCTTTTTTTTTTTCAAATGTCTTGATTTGGCTGTCCAGATGACAGCAACTATCAGTAACACTATTCTAGTATTTTCCGTCAGTGTAGGATTTCTGAGCCTCTGGATTTCCCTGTCCTGTGATAATTCATTGGCATGGAGACCTATTCATGTATCAAGGAAAAGGGCAAAAAAACAGAACTGAAGAAACAGGCCACAGACTGAGGTCCACATCTCATCTCTCCAACTTTATCTAAGGTACAAATTCGACCAAGAAAAAAAAAAATACCCTTTCCTACTACAGAAATCTATAATCTCTTCATTCCCAATTTAAGAGGAGTTCTTTGTGATATTTGAAAAACTGTGGAGACCTGGAAATACAACCGAAGTCTAGATATAAACAAATCTCTTGTATTTTAGCTGTTTTGTATTTTCCTGATGAAAATGCTCAAATGCTATTGACTATTTTATCAAGTGTTGGAGAGAGGTGGAGAGGGTACTTTTATCAGATTTTCTGAAAGCACCTTTTTAGACTTAGTTGACTGTAGTCTCTCAGTGAGTTAAAGTAGAAAGCAGCACACCACTATCTCCTTGGCCCAAAGCATTTTAGGTTTACATGCAACATCTAGAACAAGGGATCTGCACATCCTCTCCTGACAGGTCAAACCACTGTGGAGTATTTGGTCCTACATCCCGCATGTCAAGGGACATATAGAACAGCTGAAATGCATTTGTTGGTGAATTAGAAAATTATCCAGTCCGAATATTTAATGGTTAGAAAGCTGGGGAAAGGGGCGTCAAGGAAGCCCGAAGAGATATCTTTAGTATTTGAAATATGGACACATAGGAGAATGTTTGCCAAGTTAGTAGAACCAGAATCAGTGAATGAACATTCTTGGAACCATACATCTTGTTGTAAGGTAGGCAAATCTCTCAGAAGCAAGATAGTCTGAGTTACACAGTGTTGTGTTTTCACAAACATGTGTGTGGCTGTGTAACCAGAAGCTGCACAGCCACTTGTGGACACAGCAAGGACATAGGCACTAAGAGGTGAGGCCACACGACTGTGACACTCACGTCCAACTCAGATTCTGTTTCTCTCATTCTATGAATGAACTCAAGACAATCACCTCATTTTCTATGTGCAACCAAGTGTTTAAATCATCTGCCATGTCCTGGATAGCTCATGCTGCCAACACTAGCATTCACCAGATTGATAAAAAAAAAAAAAGGAAGAGCAACAAAATAATGTTATCTCCAAAAAATCTGTATGTGTTGTATGTGTCTAATGATCAGTGTTATGTGCTCACCCCTCTTTCAGTGCTGTCTCCTGCTCAGGATAGCCACGTGAGTGTGGATCTTCCCCCAGTGTCAGAGCAGATCATGCAGACTCTGAGTGAACTTGCCAGATCTTTCCAGGAGATGGCCGACCGTTGCTTGCTGGTCCTACATCTGGAAGTCAGGTAAGGACCCAGTCTGAGATTTTCTGGTGTAAGTGCACTGTGCTTCGTAAATCACTGGCTTATTTCTGGGGAGAACCACTGGAACTTTTAGTTCTCATTAGTGATGGTGCCTCTTTTTACCTGAAAAATGATTTCTAGTGTTCATCACTATGGTTTTCCATCACCTGCTGTATTGTGAATATGATGACCCAGAGTTGCATGGCCAACCCCATCAGACTGACTGGATTTGAATGTCTACACCACCTGTCTAGCTGGTCTGAAATCAGTCAATTGACTTTTCTAGCCCTTAGTTTTCTCATTTGAAACATGAAACTAATTCCTAACTAACAGATTTTAGAAAGGAAATAATTAACTATCAGTGCAATGCCTGCCACATACAAAGTGTTCAAACTGTGGTAGTTTTGTGATCGTGGTGTTTTAACTCTTGGTGATATTTTCAGTCAAGTACTAACCAAGAAGAGCCATGTGATCCTTCCTTTCAAGAATTTAAAAGCCAGTTGAAGAGATTAAGTCAAAAACTAATTCAAGGAAACAGTTTCCAAGATGGCATATTCTTGGACTGTGCCTTCCCCTGTAGTGTAGAAAATTCAGATTAGCTCTAGTAGCCTCTGTTGTCACACCAATGGAAATAGCAGGAGGAAAAGACTCTAGCTTCTAGGCCTTCAGTGGCTCATTCTTTCATATTTACTGAGCATCGTCTTTGGGCCTGTGTTGTAAGAATTGGGATAAAGCTATGAGAAGGCCTCAGACCCCTGCACTCATGGAACTATATCCTAATGGAAGAGCAGCTGTGGAGCAGACAAAAAAGATTATTTCCACTAAGAGCAACTCAGAAAATAAAAACACTTAATGAAATCAAGCAGTGCTGTCTAATAGGAATAGAAGGGAAGCTGCAAATGCAGATGATGTAAATCATTTCAGTTCTCTCATAGTCTCTGTTGAAAAACTAGAAGGAAATACATACATTATAATAACACATTTGTCTAACTCAATAGATCCCAAATATTATCTCAACATGCACTGAACAAGAAATGATGAATGATAAATGTTGGATTTTTTAAAATAGTATACTAAGCCTTGAAATCTACTGCCTACTTAGCACCCCAGAATGTCGACTGGTCATTTCAAGCAGTCAGTAGCCGCATGTCACTGATGTTTTCCCTGTGGGTAGTGCAGAGAGTGAGGAAAGAAGCCTCAAATACAGGGGGCCATACCCACGAAGGCCTGAGACTACATCTGCTTTGGCAGTCCTAAGAAACAGAGGCAGCCAGTGTGGCTGCAGATCAGTGAGGAGGGAGGAGGGTGAGCTGAGAGGGATGGGGGGAGGGATGGAGGCTGATCATGACGCTGACACAGGAGAAGGGTCACAGACTGAGTAAAGATTTTGTTCTAAGTGTGCTGAGAAGCCAGAGGAGGGGTTTTAGAGAGATAGTCATTCATTTCTTTATTTATTCATTCATTCACAAAGGACTATACAGGGAGAAACAGGGAGGGATGCAGAATGAACAGCTGGGATTAGTATGAGCACCAGAGTGACAGGTCCAGCCGGGAGGTATGTTGGCTGTAAGGCCCAGTCTGCAGGGAGTGCTTGCTGATGCAGGGGAGTGCTTGGGTTGGGCACAGGGGCTGGTGGCAGTGAGAGAAAGAAAGGACCCAAGGAAAACCACTGGCTTGGGCCAGAGCAGCGATATCAGAGCTGGCACCGTTAACCAAGGTGAGAAAGATTGGGGGAGCAGAACGCTTGTTAAGAGTTGGCCATCAGTTCCATGTTGGGGATGTTGCGTGTGAGATGTTCATGGGGCGTCTGGAAAGCAACATCAAATAGGCAGGCCTTGAAACCTGGGAATCAGAAAGCAGAGTATACTTTTGCTGCTTCTGCACTACCGAAGGATTTTATTGAATGAGAATATTCTTTTCAATGGTACTGTTAACTAGATCTTACTTTTTTGTAAAGATTTTATTTTTTATTTATGCATATAGAACTGGGGGGTTGGGAGGTGGTGAGAGGATTCACCAGAGGTAGAGTGGGGAACAGAACAGGTAGATGTACTGAAACACACTGCTGAGAGGAGCATCCGGCAGGTCAGGACAGGTCTGCCATGTCACGTGGGTCACCTCCCTGGCCGGGGATTGAACTCGTGCTGCAGTGGCTTTGATAGCTTCATAGTGCTGTGCTTTAACCCACTGTGCCATGAGGGAGGGCCCAGGTCTCACTTTTCAAAATAGAAACAGGATTTTGTTTCCTACGCGTGCACCTCTTGTGAGCTCACAGCTCTCTCAGGTGCACCCAGGTGTAGTCTAAACGACAGCGGATGACTGATGTCACGCCTTTGTGGGCCGCTCGCTGTCCTCATTCTGCACCACCTTGTCCAGGCAGTGGCTGCCACATTGCTTGGGGTACCACCACAGAGTCAGAAGAGGCAAATTGCCGACTTGGAATCTGTGCACTCAGCGTTATTTCTGATCTTCTCACATTCAGCTGCCCAGAAATCACGGCTCTTCCTCTGTTTCCTGATTGGTTTCATGATAATTTTTAGATTTGTTTCCTATTTATTTACAAGTCAGCAGTGATAGAAATTAGGTGTTTTCTATGAATAGACAATTGGCAATAGACAGGAAAAAAAAAATGAAAAACAACCCACTCAGTTACATCCTGAAGCCTGTACCTGGGCTGCACAGAAAAACAAGGGAACATCAAATTAATTACTACTGCCGCTCCTGGAGCTCATGCTATTGATTGTGTGGGTGCACGATGTGTTCTACATCCAGAATTACCTGCGAGGAGTGCAGCTAATTCCAGGTAGAATGTGTTCCACACGTTGGAGGAGGGTCTCGGCGATCCTTAACCCTGTTCTGCCCATTTGAACTTCATCCATCTTGACAACGCTACTCTTAAAGCTGAACATGAACGCATTTCAGTCATTATTTCTTGCCTTTCTATTTGTACTGCAACACCCATAGCCACACCTCCTTAAACATGAGCTTCCAAACACAGGAAGTTTGCTGGAAGAGAGTAGCAGGAACTTCAGGTTGTTAGATGGGAAGCTGTGAGGGGGAAGGGCGCCCCTGGAGCCGGCAGGGCGGCTAGGTACCTTCCCCTCACACCTTCCTCACACCTTCCCCTAAGCGCCTTGTCTGATTCATATCCTTTAATATCCTTTGTAATAAATGAGTGGCCCAGTAAGTAAAAAAAAGAGATGGAGAAACAAAAAATGACTGAATTATCTTCCCTTGTCTTTTCCTGAGAACGCTAAGCGTGTTTGTTTTTTCTAAATTAAATTTCCTCACTTCATATAACATGGTTTCAGCGTGCGTGTGGGTTGCTTCCTTATGAGCCTGCTCCGTGGTGTATTTAGTGCTTGTAAAGTATGGTTTGTGCAGGCCTCAGAGCCCGCCTCGCGCTGCTCAGTGTACATGGACAGTCATACTGTGGTCTCTGTTCCGTTAGCAGGGGTTCCGTTAGCAGGGTACGGTTGATGGAACAAGATGAATAAGGCAAGTCATCATATTGCAGTGTAATAAGGTTCGAATAGTGGAGACCCTTCAGGGGGAGGGGGGTGGCGGTTGGAGATCTTGCTGAAGGATTCTGGCCAGCCTTGCTCATTTTTATGCCTCCGAACCTGCAAGAGTCCTGCTGCCTACCAGCTGCTCAGTTAGATGATTCTTGAGTCCTGGCTGGTTAGAGTCAGATTCCAATCTAATAAGGCCTGCTTTTCACCCAGCAAAATCTCTTACTCTTTAAAGAACATGAACTGATTTGGAGATTTTTTTTTCTTTTTTCTCAGTAGGCCACTGCATGCCCCCAGGGGCTAGAGACTGCCCCCACCATGGTCATCCTTGGCATCATTACCAGCTAATGTTTGTTTTGTTCCCAAACTGCAATAAAAGAGAATTCCAGCATGCAGTGGAGAAGTGGCTGCTTAGGCACCATCTCTGGGCCTGTGACCCAGAAAGCCCCGTGATAAGAGAGCACAGGTAGAGCAGACAAAGACACTAATGACAAATAGCGAGAAGTCAAAGGCAACTTCAAGTGCCGGAAAATTTCTTATTCCCCAAGATATTTTTGTATTCCTAACTCATTGTTTTCTTTGTTGTTAAAGTTCAAACCCAAAAGACTTCTCAAATCCAGCAGGTTCCATGCTGAAAGTCTCAATCCAGAGTGACATTTTACCTGTGGCACCGTAAATCATGTTTAAATGCCAAGCAGCCCCTTTCTGTAGATGGAAGCACGAGGCAAATGACGCCCCCTAGAGTTGAAAGACAGAATGAGACCATTACAAATCGGTTGTTTTTTCCTTTCTTTCTATTTGAACTTTGGGAGAAGAAAATTAAGTTGCCATTTGAGTGTAAGATGCCCAGAACATCACCTTTCTCAGCTGATTCCTCTTGCCACCAGGAAGGCAGCTGCCTGTCACTGTTGGTCTCCTGAGTGTGCACTTTCTGAAAATCAGCTCACCTGCTGTGTGACCAGCAGTGTTTGCAGCAAACCTTCATGCCAAAGCTGTGTTAAGGCTAGCAACAACATGCCAGAATTCAGAAGGAACAACAAAAAGCCAAAAACTTTATCTGAATGTAATATATGCCCATGATTATTTGTTTAATTTCTTTTTTCATTTCCTAATCATGTTGGGAGAGGACGATCATACCTTACAACAATGTGCCGCCTACCCTCTGCCACTCACTTCTAAGTCTTGTGAGTTCTTAGGTCCAGTTCATAATCATTCTAACTAGTCTCTGCTTCCAGTTGCTACCATCCAACCATCCATCCACTTGTTCTGCTCTACCGGAATGAGGCCGCTAAAGCTCCTATCTATCTTTTTGCATCTGAAAATTATCCTACAAGTTCTCTGTGGCTTCTCAAAGTCCTTAGATGGCCTCCAAAGCCCCTTCCCAGTTCTTCTCCTAACTGATTTTCTGTCTCTAGCTTGTGATCAGTGTGCAGCTAAAAGGAACCAATCATCATTACGCTGAACTTTCCTCCATGTCTGTAATTTACTGTGACAATATCTTAGCGTTGATGGCTTGGTGATTTTTTAACTAAGACATGCATAGTGTAAATTTTAACCATAGCAGCAATCAATTTCCGTGGTCATGGAACCCTCTAGAGCTGGTCGACCATTATATGGGAGTGGCCACATTCCAAAGGAATGAGCATTTACTGGTATGTTGATCAGAACTTCGCTAATTAGTACGTGGACATCAGAATGAGTATTAATTGATAAAAGTAATCATTAACTGATTAACAGCCATTAAGATAATCACCCATCATGAAATTGAGTGGCAGTCAAGGTACGGGGTTAGGGAGCTGCTCAGCAATAAAAAGGAAAGAACAATACGTGGACAAATCTCAGGTGCTTTAGGCAGAGTGAAAAAGACAAACCAGAGAGCTATGTGATTCCACTTAGATGGCATTCTAGAAGAAACATCTACAGAGACAAAACTGATCCGTGGTGGGGAGTCTTGTGTATGAGTGGCAGTTCATGGCAAAGGGTGCAAGGAACTTCTGGGAGTGGTGGTCCACTTCTGTCTCTGATTGTGGCGGTGACTAGACAGAGGGTACATTTGTCAAAATTCATAGAACCACCCAGTGAAAGAGGGAATTTTGCTGTTTGTAAGTAACTT